GTTGCAGGAAAAAATCAAGAGGAGACTTTGAAATGCTATGTTTAAATTTCTTCTTACAGTCAGACTTATACGTGCTGGTATGGATGAGGGGTCAAATGCTTTTAGGAAAAGTGTTCCCTGAGTTACACTGGAGATATATCTATCTATCTATCTGAAATATATCTCTATGTTGTCCTAATTTGTAATATACTCTTAAGAGTCGTTTTAACAGAAAGTTCTCTCTCAAAGTTAAGCACGATCTTTAACCTTTTGTGGATCTTGAGCGGCAGATATTGTTTTCAGTTATAGTAATGAAATGAAGTTGCTAGCGAATGTATTCACCGAAGTGTGAGTTAGATACTTCGGAAGCTCCTGTGTCGAAATAAAAGATGAAGCAGGACGGGACGATCACTCGGCCTGAGAGCCTTGGGCTCAGGCCGCAGTGCCACCCCCGAATTTAATCACTAAAGTTATGACTAACTTATCATTCATAAGTTATTATTTATTACATTGCCATTTTATTTTTCTCACTTGGAAGTTTATGTTTCTTAATGTTTGAAATGGTCATTAATATATTTTACAAGTGAAACAATTTTTTGAAGGAGAAGCTATCGATTTGATGACTTTTCTGCCGCTTTTCCCTCTGCTTTCTGAAGAAAGGGCGCGCGTCTTATTTTGCTCTGGGCCCCGCGCCGCCCCCTTGGTGGGGCTGACCTCCCACCCTCTGGTCCCCCTCTCTGGAGTGCCTCCGAGGCCCGGCCTGTCTGCTTGCTGTGCCTGCTTCTGTGGTTTTCTGGAGGCCTCTTTTCTTCAGTTTGAGATAAAATGCATGTCAGCTGCACTGCTGGTCCTTAGCATCATTTTCTGATTTGCTGCTTTCTTTCTGTTGTACATGTGATAGAGGTCTGGGGCCTCTGGGGCAGACTCTGCTCCATTGCGTGCACACTGAAGGCCGCCCTCGGGCTTGCTGCGCCTCCCTAGCATGCATCCCTCCAGGGCACCCACGGCAGTGTCCCGTGCATGGCAGGAAGGGCGACCCTTGCCACAGGACACACTGCAGAAGCACAGCGAAGTTCTCCCTTTGCAGGGTTTTGCTTCTTGAAAGCTCATCTTTTGTCTACCAGTTTGTCACTGTTTCCCTTCCTCATGTGGTCTCCTTAAAGCCCTTCTGGCATTTCTTCTACTGTGACGAAGATGGAAACATTTTTGGAGTCGCAGTGTGGGCGCTGGGCCTGGGGTCCGGCCCCAGGTCCGGTCCACGCCCACTTTGGTCTTGGATCCAGCATCTGCACTCCGTGGGGAGCCCCTCACGAGGACCCTGAACCCTGGCATCAAACTAGAGGGCGGAGGGGTGAGTGCAGCTGACATGCTGGGCTCCTACGGCTCCCTGGCTCATTTCCGAAACTTCTCTCACCTTATGGGAGTCAACAACAGCACCCTGCTGGTTGCCTCTGGAGACTACGCTGATTTCCAGTATTTGAAGCAAGTTCTCAACAGATGGTGTAAGTCTCCTGGAAAATAGGGAGTGGTGGCTTGAAAGTGGGAAAGGGGAGTCCCTGGGCTTTATTCCCTCAAGTCGGATAGGAATAGTTGAGGCTGCAGCATTGGTTTGAGAGAACTGGTATCAGGCTAGGCGCTGGAAATGTATTTACAGCACAGTAGTTGTGGTAACTTCTCTTGGGGCAGGTGGAGATCTTGACTTCCATTGTAGGCCTTTTCTCACAACCAGTTCCCTTTAAGGATCGATGAGGAATTGCTGGGAGATGCACACAGCTGTAGCCCTAGAGCTATTCGTTCATGGCTGACAAGGGCCATGTATAGCCTCGGATCGAAGATCAACCATTTGTGGAACACCACAGTCATCGGAGGCTACGCACATGGAGAGCGCTTCTTCAGTTACGTGGACATGCGTGCTATAGCCTAGGAAGCCCCACTGCTGGCCAGTGGCTTTGGTGGTTGCTTGGCTCAGCCTCTGCTTCGAGAAGTTCTGGAGAAGCAGCCAGTGCTGAGCCAGACCGAGGCAGCGAGCCATCGAACGCTGCACGTGAGCCCTGTACTGTTGAGATGCCCATTCATATAACCGGTTTGAAATTGCCATGTAACTGAAAAAGGTGTTGAAGTAGGGGAACCGCTGTCTGCAGAGACTAACTGGGATACTGTCCATATGATCAGCGGCTTTTAATGACATACAGATGCATTAGCTGGAACTGAAGTTGCACCCTTTAACTTTAAGGTAGCTGGTTCAAAGATAGACTTTTGTAAAATAAAGCAGTTCTTCAAAATGGAAAAACAAAAAAAAAGCCCTTTGATTTCCTAATCTGTTCAGAAGGAGCCCTCCAGCTGCCCACGTGAGTAAACCAAGGGTGGGGTGTGCGCTTAGGGCCACTTGTTCTTGATTCTGCTTATTTCAGGGAAGATTCATTCCAAGAACTTTCTGAAGTTTCTCCTAGGGAAGACATGTTTCCTCCTGAGCTGTAGTTCTCAGAAAAGAGTCCCATTTTCTTCTTTTCTTTTTCACTTTCCTTTCATTATTTTTCTTTCAAATTCTGTAGTTACTTTCAAAATCTCTCTCCTATTTTTTCCCACTGGGTTTTATTTGCACATTTGGTATTTCATAAGTATTTACATTTTTACTTAGTTTCTAAATAAAGGTTTATTGCAAAAATGAGCTCAGTGTAATTGTGACTCTTCATGATCTTTAGAATTGAAATTATCCAAATGATTTGGTCAATAACTTCCTTTCACTGTCAGAAATGGAAAAGTCTATTAAGACCCAAATCAGTCACTTTAATCTTGGACAGATGTTAATGTTAGAATTTTTTTTTCTTAAGTGAAGCCAAAATCTGTCTTCCTTCCCATTTTAAGGAAAACAAAAGGCTTATTTTAAAAAAGTGAGTGTAGACAAAATAAAGTGCTCTAATTTTTCAAAATCCTTGGATGAGTTCCTAATCAGAATCATCACAGTCTTCTGTCTCCTCAGCATTTGAGATGCCTATTCATTATGAAATGCCGTTTTCACGTGTTCTATTATCATTTCTAGTACTTTTTTTTTTTTTTTTTTGTATTTTAGGGAGGGCTCTACAAAGTGTTCAGGGCCTCACTACTAGCTCGGACCTGATCTGCCTGTTTACAGCCTCCCAAGAGCTGGGATTAGAGGTGCGCTCCACCACGCCCCGTCTCAGGTGCCATCTCAGCGTGCCCCGGGGGCGGGCTGTCATGTCAGTCCCTGGGCCTGCTTGCAGGTGCTTTACCCTGCTGAGCTATTTGGCTGGCCCCATTTTTAGTACTTTGCATGCAGTGCCTTAGGAAGACTTCTGTAGGATGAGGTAGTTAGCACACATAATACTGACGTATGGCAAAAATGAGTGTTTGGCTTCAGAGCCACACTCCTCCCGCACACCAGTGCTTTCCCGAGCTGCCCTGCTTGTGGTACTCACTAAGCGCAGAGTGCTAGTGAGGTGGCAAGCTTGTTGGGATTCAGTGCTTCCGGAGAAGTTAGTGGAATGAAATCAGCTCAGTGTTGCTGCTTTTGCTAGGTTTTAAAACAAGATGCGAACTTCAGGGCAAAGTTCTGTGGGCAGCTACTAAACCAGTCGGTCCTCTATTTGCAGTTAGTTACAGCCAGCCATGGATACAAAATATTCAGAAAAAAACCCCATAAAGTTAAACAAAGCAGACTTGAATTTGCTAAATGCCCACTACCTCCTTTCTTTTTTGTTCTGAGAATTGAACCAAGGCTCTTTACAACTATAGCTATATCTTCATCCCTTTTTAATTTCCTCGTTTAGAGACGGGGTCCTGCTAGGTCATTAAGTTGGCGAGGCTGGGATTGAACTTACTATTCTCCTGCCTTGGCCTCCCAGAGTGCTGGAGTTGTGGGCATGAGCTACTGCACCTGGGTGTTGAGGACTACATTGACTCTGCACCAATGAAGAACAGACTTTGTATTAAATATTATAAGTAAACTAGACATGATTTAGAACACATGAGAAGATATCATTTTAATATAGGGGACCTGGGCAATAGATTTTATCTATGAAACCCTGAACCCCTCCTTCATGGACACCACTGTATTCTGAAGTTTCAGGTACTGAAGTAGGACAACAGCGTAGTATCCTCCACTTCACACGCACCTCGACACTCTGAAGACGAGAGAGTGGGAGCTGCCTCGGAAGGTGGGAAAGGGACCATCGCGTGGACAGGGGGCAGCAGGCCTTCCTGCCCTCGCCAGGCCCAGGCTTGTGGCAGCCGTCAGCACTGGTGTCCAGACACTCGCTGGCCTCAGCTGACTTTGGCACAGACGCGCGCCCCTGTCCTCGTGCCCTCGGGGCCAGGGCCTCTGACAGCCTCCACATGGTGCAGGTTCTCATTAGTATAAATGCTTAGAAGACTGTGTATTCAGGATGTCCACGGAAGCACCATCATTTTATTGACTTTACTTGAAGGTAATGTGGGTTTACAAACCAGCAGTGTACAGCAGTTTGCTGTCCATCTTCTTTTTCCCCGACGGAGCAACAGAGTTACGGATTTTCAGGTTTACTTTGATGAGCAAGCGCAAACCCACTAAGGTGCTTCACATGGTCATCTGAGGGTAGCAGGGCTTAGTAGGCGACACAGTAACCCTGCACTTTGCAAAGTAGACATTATTATTTTTAAATACAGCATAAGCATGTAACTTCAAATTTCATGCAGAAAAACACAATAAAACACTGATGCATAAGATTATCACCAATCGCTTCTTTCCTGAAAGTATCTGACATTGCTGTTTCAAAATTAGACACGGGCCAATTTACATTGATGTCATTTTATAGACATATATTCAGAGTCAACTGAAAATGCTCATCAGGCGGAAAACGGTGGGAAAACCGGATAGATAAGTGAACTCTTAGGAAGGCATCCGCGAGCGCACTGCGTCCGGGACGAGCGTGGCCCCGTGAGGGCGGCGGCGGCGGCTCTCGGCGGGCGCTCTGGGGCTGGCAGGCCTCGGGCCCTCCGCGCCCCGGCACTTGGCTCGGGGTCGCCTAGTCGCATTTCCTCTCGGCCTCCACGGGAGGCTCGCCAGCCTTCGCTCTCCCTCGGAAGGAGGTCATGCTGGTGTTGGCGCCCAGGTAGTCACTCAGGGCGATCATCATTTTCGGAGATATCAGTCTGGATAAAAGCAGAGCAGAACGTCTGTTAGGATCCTGAAAGGGGCCCGGGAGGCGACCTTCATCACCCAGGACCGCGCAAGTGGGAGTCCACACCTGACGCCGCGGATGGGCGGCAGTCGGGACGCAGGCACGCTGCAAATCGTGTAAATTTATCTTTGGAGTATGTGGCTAAAGCGGAACGGAATATCAATGAATTTCTAGTCTACACGTAGGAGGTCTGATCGCCAAGAAATCGCAGTATGTTTACACAAATGTTCTAATGTCTAAAAAAGTCTGAAATTGAAGCTCTGCTTGTGCTTGGCGCTTGGGCTGCGAGCACCCCGTGCACACGCGCGGCAGCGAGCGCCCCACGCGGCCGTAAAGGCGCAAGCTCTGAGAGCCGCCGGCAGCCTGGGGCTTGAGCGGCGGCGGGCCCAGGCGGGCCGGGCTTGGGCCCACCCCAGCGCCCTCCCAGGGCGGGCTCAGCAGGCCAGGTGAAGCAAAGACAAAGTTGGGTTTGAAACTTTGTTCCAACACATCTTAGCTACTTAACCCTAAAAAAATTACTCTTTGAACCTCCGATTCTGTTAGTGTGGCCGTCAGCACGGAGCTGGCGTGTGCGCTGCGGCTTTCGGCTGGACCTTCCCGCGGCACGGGGCTCCCCGGACGGTGCAGCCCTGCTTCCTAGGTGAGGAGGACTGTGCCAGCGGAGTGTCAGCCCCCCAACTGGGGTCTGTACCTTCCTTTTCAAAATAGCGCTCTACCGCAGTCAAACTATACTGACCCAAACCAAAAAATATAAAGCAGATGAGCAAGCAGGCAGAAAACCCGGCGCCTCCCAAGTGATTTGAGTACTATTTGTTTTTGTGCTGAAACAAATAATGTGTGCTGTGCAAAGCCCGGAGGGTTGCTGAGCTTTGTCAGTATCTGAGACAGCTAGGACCCAGCTCGCGCAGCTCAGGAAGTTGTCCAGGTACTGCCAACTGTCTCCCTCTCATCACTAAAGAAATGTGAAGTGGCTTTTCCAGATGAAAGAAGTGTGATGGCTGGACAGTTTGTTCATGTCCCGAAGGAAAGGGAGGTCCTCATTAACTTACTGTTTAAGGACAAATGCGACATATGCAAACTTGGGGAGGATGAGGTAAACTTTTTCCTCTAGAATAGCATTGACAATTTTTTGGGCCACGTCCTCTGGTTCCATTATAGGTAACAGAAATGGATACCTGGAGAAATAACAACAGACATTTTATGCTCAGAGTGGTATTTCCTGCAGCCATCAGTCATTACACTTCAGACATGAGACTATCACGTGCAGCTGAAACAGCCAGACAACCGTGTCTCCTGTTTTCTCTCGTCATCAAAGTTGCTATCAGTGCTAATGTATTAACTTCCTCTAATCAAACTCCACCTTTCATTCACTGACCTGTGATGACCTGAACATAAGGTTGATTTAAAATTTTTTTTAAATTTTTTTTTGTATTTTAGAGAAAGGTCTACACGGTGGAAGATCCCCACTATTTCTAATTTCTTCAGGGTTTGTTGTGAACGTGTATTGGATTTTGCTGTTTTCTGTGTGTATTAAGAAGAATATGGAAAAGTTGTCCTTTATTATATTGACATGATGAATTATATATTATTTAAAACACTGACGAACGACATTCCTTGGATAAATTCCAATTGATCGTGGTCTACATCGTTATTACACGTGCTAGCATGTCATGAAAGACGGCTGTGATCACCTTCTGGGCTTGAACCAAAGCAGCATTGCATTCAGGAGTGCACTGGGGAGTCTTCCGTCCTCTTGAGCTTGGAGAGAGTTTTTAGAATATTAGTATGTAATTTTTCCTCCAATGTTTGATAGGCTTTTCCAGGAAGCCACTTGGATCCGGGTGTGTGCTGCGCGGGAAGTGTTTCGGCTGCTAACTAGAAGCCTTTGTTTTAAGCACATGCAGGCCATTTCCCTCCCGGGTCACTTTCAGTAGTTTGTGCGTCCCTAAGAGTCTGTGTGCTTCATCTAAGACCCCTGCTTTGCTGGCATGTACATTTCCACAGCTTCTCCTGTGACCCTCTCGCTCCCTCAGTGGCAGTGCTGTCCTCTCTCTGTTCTTCTTTTTGGTAGCCCAAGTCTTCCTGGTTTCATTTCTTAGTTCACATAGCTAAATTTGTGTTAATTCTGCTGATCTTTTCAGAGAAGCAACTCCTGGCTTGTTCATTTTCTATCTCTCTTCACGTAGTTCTGCTACCACATACATTGTTTATACTTGCTTTGGATTTAGTGCGCTCTTACTTTTTGTAGTTTCTTAAGGGGAAACACTAGTTATTAGTAGCTTTGCTTTTTAAAATGTCACTGTCTACAGTTATACACTTCCTTGTTTTAGGTGTAGTTTGCAACTTCTGATATATTTCCATGGATTTATAAATTTCACTCTCATTCCATTTTCCTTGGAGAATATACTTTATATTATTTCATTCCTTTCAGGTTTACTGCTGGTTGCTTTATGGTTTGACATATGAAATTTTCCTGGAGAGTGTTCTGTGGGTTCTTGATTTTTTCAGAACTGGGGATTGAACTCAGGCCCTTGCACTTGCCAGGGAAACACTTATTGTACTAAGCCATCTCTCTAGCCCTGAGTTCTTGATTTTTAAATCATTTTAAAAATTATTTATTTATTTGGTACAGGGTCTTGCTATACAGCTTGGGCTCATAGTGATCCTCCTGTCTCAGCCTCCCCAGCACTGGGATTACAGGTGTGTGCAACCACGCCCAGTCTCAGTGGCTGGCACAGTGGCACGGCACGTGGTACTGGGGATTGAACCTGAGACCTTGCACTTCGCAAGCAGGTGCTTAGACTGCTGAGCTATCTCCCCAGCCCAGATTCTTGATTTTTATTTAAGTTTACTGATGCAGTTTAGGTATACATAGTGGTCACCTTCATTGTAAGAAATTTACCTGTGTACCTGATATACCTTGATTCCTCTTCTTTTCCCATTTCCACTCCAGCTTTCAAAACCATCTCCACTCAGAGTTTTGCTCTCATTTTATCCTTCTGCTCTCCTTTTTCTTTTCCTTCCTTCCTCCTACCTTCTCCACTCCTTAGTTCCTGTGCCTTTTGAACAGTCCCTTCCAATTTTACAGTGTCTGTTGCACACTTTGATTCTCACTTACACCGCTGGTTTCTCACACCAGAGAGATAATGCAGCGTGTGGTCCGATGCATGCATGACTGTGCTCTCAAGGGCCGTCCCCTTACCTATAAATGTCTCGGTTTTATCTTTCTGAATGGTGGAGTAATGCTCCATTCTACAAAAAACCTCACATCTTTTTAACCCATGCGTTGGTTGATGGGCATCTGGTTTCCTCCCAAGAGACAGCTATAAGACACTGCTGCTGTAAACATGGGTGTGTACACACCGCCGTGGCAGGATGCTTTTAATTCTTCCAGGAAGATACCCCAGAGGGGAAGAGCTGGGTCAAATGGGAATCTCCACACGAATTTCCGTGGTGGGTGCCCCAGTCACACCCCCACCAACAGTGGAGACAGGTTCCTTTGCTCCACAGCCCTGCAGCACTTGTTACCGTTTTCTTGACGGTAGTCATTTTTCCTGGAGTGAGATGGAATCTCAGAATTGTTCTAATTCGCCTTTCTTCAATGACCAGTAAGTCTGAACACATTTACTTGCTGTCGCGCTCCTTCAGAGAAGTGTCTGTTTGTCACAGACGCCCGTTCTGGGTCTTTGCATTTTGGAGGGCTCATGTTTTTGTTTTAGTTCCTTACATGCTGTAGACATTAGTCATTTGTCTGAAGAACTAGAATTTTTTTCTTACTCTATAGGTTATTTTTTTCACTATGAGATCTAGAGAAAAATGTGTACTCTGTTATTTTTGGATGAAACGTCACGTAAATGTCTCCCGTGTCTTCTTAGGTTTTTGCATTCTATGCCCTTTTGATCACAAGAGCATCCTTTAATAATTTTAAGCTATATTTTCTAAGTTATTTGCTTAGAGGCATAAATATACATCTTATCAGGTGCTATCAGAATCTACTTTGCAATCTTAAAACCTTAGTTTAAGCAAAATATAGAAATTATTTTCTTAGATAGCTGAAATTTTCCCATTTTAAATACATATGCCTATCTATGTTATAAGTATGATAGTATACTGTTGCACTTATTTCTTATGAGTTACATTATAAAGAAGCAGAGAGAACAAAGAGGAGCAGGCGCCTTCGGGAGGACTTGCTCTCGGCCTTCTCGGCTGCAGGCTCCCTCCTCCCTCCTCCCTCCCTGAGGGTCTGAGGTGCCATCTGGTGTCATTCTCTGCAAGGCAGGTTTGCCTGCATCTGCCTCCTTTGTGCTCTGAATGTAAAGCTGTTTTATTTTTGTATTACAGGTCCAACAATATTCTTATGCACGCTGCTCATGCAATGCTTTCAACTTAGTTTTATAAGCCATACTAATATAATTTAAAAATGACCTATGGATATTTTTATTTTTTAATGTGCTTTTAGATTACTCTCTGGTGTCTCTCAGCTTCATCTTTAAGAACTCCCTTTAGAATTTCTTGCAAGGTGGTGTGCTAGCAATGAACTCTCGCTCTGATTTGCCTTCTTTTCTGACAGATGGTTTTGACTGCTTGACAATTTTTTTCTTTGTATTTTAGGGAAGGGTCTACAGGGTGTTCAGAACTAGATCGGACTTGCAGTGATCCACCTGTTTACAGCCTCCCAAGAGCTGGGACTACAGGCACGCACCACCACGCCCCGTCTCAGGTCAACAATATTTTTTAAAACACTTTTACTGTGTCATCCCATACAGCCTTTGGCTCCTGCTGTTTCTACTGAGAAGTCTCTTATTAATTGTACCTGAGTGCCCTGTACAAGATCAGATATTTTTTCTCTTTGGTTTGAATATTCATATTTATTTTTGTATTTCAACATTTTGCATATGATACGTCTCAGAGCAGAGCTGCTTGGTTTATTCTGCTTTGAGTTCATTTATTATCTTCAATAAAAAATGATTTACATCAAATTTAGAAAGTTTTCAAATATTTCTAGGAATTCTTTTTTTT